TTTAGCTTAAATATGTTTCTAAGTGAAGTTTACCTAAGTATGGTGAATTCTAGAGATACTCAAAATATTTAAGGCTTCGTTTGTAAAGAATCTTCCATTATACGATTGACCAATCATGAGAAAGTTACCTATAGCTGGCTATTGCGATATGAGTTAGTTTGCATTAAAAATATTATGATTTCTATTATTATTTACTATAAGAATTTATTACAGAACTTACTTGAAAAACGATATTCGCAATAGCTAAAGTTGTGTTGACTTATATTGAGATTATTATGATCTCTATTATGAATTACTGTAAAGAATTTCGTTACAAAACTTCTAGTAACCTTACCAAACTTGATCAGACCTATTGTAAAAATAGAATAAAAAAAACCAGACAACTCCATCTGAATATCGTGTACGAAGGTTGGGTTAGCAGAAAAGCCAGAAACTACTTTTTACTTTATCTAGAAAAAATTCATTCTTTTTAAATACTACTAACGATTATTAATCGAAAGTAAATATAAATATGTTACTAAAACTCAATAAATTATGACAACATATCATACCTAATATACTCTATAATCGATTCAAGACAAAATGCTGCTCTGATACTTTTGTATTGGGCAGCTAATTGAGCTTAAAATATAAAGACTTTAATGTGCTACATATTAATTTTTTCTATATACTACTATTCCAACACCAAGCTGTTAGGTGTTTTTATATTAACGAAGTGTATCTAGAGCCAAAAGCCAGTTAAAAAAAAAAAATTTGTAAATCGTCAAGGTATGTACGTATATACTTGATATACATTTTTAGAGTATTGGTACTGATACTGTATATTTATATTTTGTAACCAACAATTTATCTGATTTTTGAGATTTATCAAACTTCGCTCTATATTAGGTATAGTAATATGTATGTATATATCTCGTACTACAAACATCGTTTAACATTAAATATGGATGCCCCCTAACTGTAATATAATATATTTGTTTCGAAAATGGTCAAAATTATTTAGAATACTCTAAATCAAGTGACTTATCTTCAAATTCACTAGAACATATATCTAAATTAGACCTACTTGAAATATTTTGATTATTATTCACAAGTATCAAATTATTGCTAATTTCATTAAGTTTAATTGGCTTTTTTTCAGACAAAAATTCTTTTACTAATTTATTTTCAGTAATATCTAAACTTTCATTCATAGTAATATTAAATTAAATTCAAATTATTGCAATATAAATCAGAAACTTCACAATATTTATTTTATCATCTCGTACTTATGAATACAATTAGCCATATGCTTCGATAATCCATTGCTAGTAGTGTAAGTGCGTGGACAGTTAGCACATTTGAAGTTAGACATCTTTAAAATAATTTTAATATATTTAAATGTTTTGATAAAATATTATATATGTAAAATATAATTGAAGCAAAAATTTAATACGAAGAGCAATAAAACATTTTATCTAATTTATATCTAAAGAATAAATTAAATATGTTCATTTAATTTAATTTAATTTGTTATATTTATTACATTCATTATATTAATATTTAAAAATTTTTAACATACATTTATTTGTTTCCTAATAATATAATTTAATCGAAAACATTCAAATTATTCCAAATAAAGCTTAGAGCATTAAATAAATTTTTATTATATACATATTATTTTTGTTATTTTAGTATTAATAATTTAAAGTTTAAATAATATTATTTCTTTTTAGTAAAGTGAAATAAATTTACTAGCTATATTTGTAAATATTGCGAAAGATTTTAAAAAATCTAAGAAGCTATAATTAATATCAAATATTTTTAAAATTTGATGAATTTTGATTATATATATATATTATTATGTAAAATCAGCCAAAAGTTTACCATTACTATAAATAGGATATAAATAGATCAACAATTAATATTGTTTTGACATTTTGACAATTTCACAACTTTTCAAATATTTCAAACTTACTGGAACTTACAAGCTTAGCTTACTTTAAAGTCAACTTGTTTTTAATAATTCTATAAAAAATTATCATTGCATATAAAGCTTTTTTATATTTTAGTTTATTAAATTTATGTTTAAATTTTTAAGTTGTTCGCTTATATTTACACAAACTACACTACTAACTTTATTTAAAGTTATTTTATTTTTTTAATTTAGAAATGGGCTTCGGTTTAAAGGCCTCAGCGAAGAAAAGCAATAAAAAATCTCAAAGCAATAAGTTAGACAAAGGAAATTACTAGCAACTCTAGAAGCAACCAGAGGATCTGAACTTACTCAAAGTTTTTCAGATAAATTCGAAAACCTTGGAATTGAACAAAGCAGAACCAATAGTTCTTACAATTATTCAAATACTCCCAAAGATATTTACAATTATTGAATATTCATTTTATTTTTATAATTTTCCATAACATATTTTTTTATTTCTAAATTTATCTGATCTTCTTTTAGATAAATCGATTTACT